TTTAATCCTCTCTTCCAAAATTCTGCATGCCATTCATAGCGATAGAGAATTGTTTGGCGTTCTATCTCGATAGGACTGAACCGGAATATCTAGAGAGCCTTCCATCAGTTGCCGTCAGAACTCTGGCTAAGCTCTTCACGCGGTATTCGCTCTGATGCAGGATGCCCATGTCTTGGAGGGCTAGCAAGGCCGTTTCGCTGAATAGGAAGGGAGATCCTGACTATGTTGACAACTATTTCTCACTCTGCCTGCTGTCTGTAATCTACAAATTTTCCACGACACTCAACCTTAAAAGGATTGGCAGAATACTAGATGAAAGATAAAAATTTGACCAAGTAGAGTTTTGAAAGCGGTTCAGTACAATCGATCACATCAGCGATGTCACAATGCCACTGGACTAACGCACGAGTACACGATGCCGTTATGAGTGACGTTCATCCTTATGACGCTGAGCTGATGGCGTAGGGACAGAAGAGGTAATTGAGGCTCCGGTAAACCAGGGTGTTTCGTTCATGTATGAGAACTCCATAACAACTTGGCAACAGAATTTCTCCCTTCCATTGAAAGGTCATTAGCAACGTGAAGAGAGGGGTTGAGCTGGCTTCTAACTACTAGAAAAACTCTTCAGCGAGTGAAACCTGGAGGTCGAGACAATACACCCTCTACATCATGTTCGCTAAATAAGTTTTCACGAGAATTAGCTCTCTATCCCTAGGGAATGAAAATATGAAGGAACATTTTTAGGAGGCTGTCTTACTAAAACGTGGTGTCGGATTGTGCAGATGGGAGTTCAAGCATGCTAACGTCCAAGTAGGAAGACTATTGGGAAGAGGAGCTTATGGTGAAGTCAGAAAAGGAACAGTCATACGGAAGAATGGACAGATCGTGAACGTTGCTGTCAAGACGGTAAGCCTTTCTTGTGAAGATGAACCAGCCATCGTCTTCAAAAGTTGCTGAAAAACGCAGATAACTTATTTCTTGACACGCATCGCCATATTGCTCACAGTCAGTGGCCAGTTGCCCAGACTGTGAGCAAAAGGTTCGAAAAAGGTAACAAAAACTCGTACTCATGATATTCTGCAAGAACAAAGGCTTGAAATTAGAGAGAAACAAGATGGTGATGCTTTAGAGGTTCTCTACCATACCTGTTGTGCAATCAGGCAAAAAATGCGGAGGACAGGCTTCTCGAGCATCACCTTAGTTTATGTTCTGACAGTGGAATCTCAGCATGAANTGAAGGAACATTTATAGGAGGCTGTCTTACTAAAACGTGGTGTCGGATTGTGCAGATGGGAGTTCAAGCATGCTAACGTCCAAGTAGGAAGACTATTGGGAAGAGGAGCTTATGGTGAAGTCAGGAAAGGAACTGTCATACGGAAGAATGGACAGATCGTGAACGTTGCTGTCAAGACGGTAAGCTTTCTTGTGAGATGAACCAGCCATCGTCTTCAAAACTTGCTGAAAAACGCCTCATGGATGATAATTTATTTTTTGACACGCATCGCCATATTGCTCACAGGACTGTGAGCAAAAGGTTCGAAAAGGGTAGCAAAAACTCGTACTCATGATATTCTGCGAGAACAAGGGCTTGAAATTAGAGAGAAACAAGATGGTGATGCTTTAGAGGTTCTCTACCATACCTGTTGTGCAATCAGGCAAAAAATGCGGAGGACAGGCTTCTCGAGCATCACCTTAGTTTATGTTTTGACAGTGGAATCTCAGCATGAATGGCTGATGTAGATACTACACTATCATGCTATGAAAACCAAAGTGAATGGTATTGCCATCCCAGAAAATGGAAGTGGTTGTTTTTTGACTCCATTCCTCAGTACGGATTGGTTAGTCCCTCTCCTTTTGGGCAGCCTGTTTTGGCCCTGAGATTTTAGCAGCCTCTCCCGAGCGGTCCTACCCAACACTGCCGTATTGGGGGCTTCCTCAGGTTCAGAGGAATTAGGCCCATTTTTATTACTGTTTTTGGCGGGTAGATACCCAAGTGTAGCTTGCCAAGCTCTGACGTGGGCTGGGTTGACTCCGGGGGCTTGCCAGGCTATCCCGAAGTTTGCACGAGGGGCTTTGTTTTTGGAGGCGGCTCCAAATCGCCTCCTAGATACTTCCCAGTCACTCGAATGCTAGCTTTTGGTTGAGTCGATGGGCAGGATGCCAACTGAGCCCACAGACTCTCCACACACTTATGCGTGGATACGCCTGCGAGAAACAGAAGGTATATTGACCAGCACAGCAGAATCACGGAGTCCATCCCTTTAATCCACCCGAGTCTTCGGGCAAGTATTTGGTGACTTTTGGTCGGCGATTCATTCCCCTATCCGCCACCTGGGAACATATTATGTAGCCTCGTCACTAACCGGCTGGGATCCTTTAGAGAGAGAGGACCTCAGTAAAGGAGATCCGTAGATACAGACACGTATAAAGAATAAATATTTGCACTTTCAGTTAACGATGACAAACCTTCTCAGCCGAGAGTTAATACGAGAAATCATGAAAGAAGCACGAATAATGCGCGACCTTCATCACATAAACGTTGTCAACATGATTGGTGTTGTACTGGTCGACCATCCCATTTACATCTTGTTGGAATATGTCTCAGGTTCTTCTTTCTGTGAATGTTTTGCTGGATATACTAGTCAGAGTATTGTTCGTTTGCTTGACACGGAGCATGCTCGAGTAGCCCCTATTGCTGAGAAAATGCGCGAAGCTCGTCACGGTCTTGCCCAACCAGCGGGCAACAGTGCCTGTAAGACCGGCCTCACATGGACAAAATTCTAAAGTACTGGCAAGTGATGTGGAGCGAAAAAAGATCGCATATGGTCGTTGACAATGTTGAAGTGAAAACAACTGAAAAGACTGATTAAGTGGTTTAAAAGGCAAGGGCTAGCGAACTCCCAGCTTGACAGTGCAGCTTGATACCACTAGTATGTTATGTGCGTTGTGCTGGGAATTGTATATGGTGGGGGAACGAAACTAACAACGACGGAAGTTCGATGATGTTAGACGCTAGAACTGCTAGACGCCATACTTTACTCTTTTGAATGCAAAGTAGGAGCGCGCTGCTTTTATGTTTAGTGTTGGGTATGGCGGAACCGTGTGTGGTTTGATAACAAATGACCCAAACTGATCGGAAACTCTAAAGGAGTGGCTCTAATAAGAGATTACCATCCTATATTTTTCGCGTTTTAATAGAACCTCGAAATTATGGTGTATGATCGGGATAAAGAACGTGTCGTAGGCACTTGGTACAAAAAGTGGCGTGAACAAAGGTATGTTTCGGTCAGACTTGTGAGGGTCAGTATTATGAGTATATCAGAGTGTTCTTCATGCTCATTAGAAACTCGAAGACTACACTCAGAGAGTATCTCTCTCTTCATGCTGACCATTTACAAGAGAAGGATAACAGAAGGTGTCCTTTAAAGTCAATCTATCCTTTTTCGGGATGCACTCGCTTTCATGCATGCATATGGGGCTTACACAACGTCTTGAGGCGAAAACTCGACACAGAATCCAAAGCGATATCTATCCACAGACCATACCAGTACATAGGACGTCAGTTGGCGCTACACCTTTACACCCGCTCCATTCGCAACGAAACATACCTTTTGGGAATCTTCATGATTGGTTTGACATCTCTAAAGACATGAAGTGCAAATGGCAATAATCACATTTTTGAGGTTTCTTCTATTCAAATACAAATATTAGCAATATTAGCATTATGTGCTGTTCATCTGGGAGAAGAGCACATATGAAATTGGTGCCGTTGTTCCGATATAGTCAGCGTTCAGGTGGAGCTCTTGATGTATATCTAAGAAGAAAACATGCAAGAATCGGCAGAATGGAGAGATTTTCAATCATGTTGGGAGTTGCATCAGGAATGGATTATATTCATAAGGCAAACATCATCCACAGAGATCTTGCTGCTAGGAATTGCCTTTACGATCGGACTCACACGGTATGGCAGTTTCGTCTTCGTTCTCTTAATTATATCGGAGTTTCGCAATCCCCCGTATAACTATCGAGAGGCTTGTAAGGAACTAAGCTATTCGAAGAAGTTGAGGAAAATCATGTACGAGATCATCTCATCTTCTTTGTATTGGGACCGACACTAAGGATTTTGTCGGCANTTTCACCGTGTATGCTCCATTGTGAATTGTGCGGCATCTTCAAGATCCTTGGAATAGGAGTACTTCCAGAAAAACTTCATAGTGTACCCAGTATTCGAGCCCTTAGTACGCCTTATTCGATATGACAGTGTTACAAATGGTGTCGCGCCGTGGTCGAGCTCCCTTCCCGCATCGGAGCCCCGAGAGGAGGGAACCTGATCACGCTGCAGAAAGGGCTGTGGGCTTGTTGGACTTGCATGCTCGCCGTGCTCTACCTGCCACGCGTTGTACGAGGTTAACAATAGGGTCTGGAGTTCCAGACTGTACCTTTCTTGTATGGTGCCCGTTCATCCATGTTGTAACTACGCGATACGCATCAATCCTCTCTTGCCTCAGCGGTGGATTACCATTGGCAAGTCACTACCGGAATTATTATGACTTGGCACTCACTTGTGTAAATCAATGAATACGCGGAAACTGCCCTCGTTTTCGATTTTAATAGAAATATGATATGAGTACACAAAAAGTAATAGTAGTAAGTTTATGTATACGCGTTCATACACAAAATACCTTGGAATAAACAAACAATACTTATAAGGTCTTACGCCTGCTTCGCTAAAGGAAAAGGGAGGGGGTCACACCTTAGTCTTACACTCATGGCGGGTTGCGCGGTACGCTCCATACATGGGCTTCCGTGCCCTGACGTTCTCCTCTTACCTGACACGACTTCGTTACGATAGCTACGCAGAATAGGAAGGATAATATACAGACGCTACGGCACGCATCCTTCCCATCCGCTAGCATTGACGACGACGACGACGACGACGAATGCGTCCGATACGACACGATAAAGACAACCCACAGCAACAATCATAGGCTCAATGAGCCATGTGTTTGGCTGCGTTTCCAACGGCGCCCTAGGACCCCCGCACACCCGAGACCAGGTACGACCCTTTAATGTAGTCGCACGAAAGTCACGACAAATGGCATACTTTGAGTCGTTACGGAATAAATCGTAAAGCACTCTTATAGTAAACTTAGCCTCCAAAGTTCAAGCTCGCAACCAATGCATCGTAAAACCAGTTTCCATTCACTAATCAACAATAAGCTATGCATTCTCATCTACACATAAGAACATTCACCTTTTTGCTTTGAAAGAACACAGATGCAGATCTCTTATTTTTATATTGATGCGGAAGAGAGGGAAGAGAATTTTCTACATACGTGGGACACTCGTCACAATATTTTTCTTAAACCATCAGCCATAACGAAACTGGCAAAATCTAAATTCATTATTAATGTTCAGGTTAAAATCTCGGACTTTGGTCTTTCGAGACCAGGAGCACAGTACAAAATGAAAACAGCACAAAAGATGCCCATCAAATGGATGGCACCTGAAAGTATACTAACCTTTACTTTCACGCGGAAGACTGATATTTACACTTATGGGGTAACTTTTTATGCTGTCGCAATCGAGTAACTGGTTAGCGAATATATACATATAAAAGTGTATTCAGGTTTTAATATATGAAATATTCGCTGGTATTGGTCCATATGATGATATGAGGAATAGTGTTGTGAAGAAGATGGTCGGTGTTCGCCAGAGTGACTCAGTTCCCTTTTTAGCTACCGCAACCTTCAATTTAAAAGTGCAAAAACGAAGTTTGAAAAGGGAGAATTCCCAAACCAACTTTATTAGGATTCATAGAGCAGACATTGGCATAAAATGTCATCATTATTTTCTTATTAGATTACCTCACTCCGGCCAAAATTTGTTTGCATTAGTTCTATGCAACGAGAACTGAGGTTAATCGTGACAGTGTTTTCAGATTGTAGAAGGCAAAGTCAATGAATTTCCCGCTACAACTCCAGACTACGTAGTAAATTATGTCAAAGAGAAGCTGTGGTGTAAGGATCCTGACAAAAGGCCCGATTTTTCCGCAGTTAGTTTTGGTAATTACAGCTATACTGAGGGTCTGGTAACTTGTCCCCTAACGGCGTGTCCTGCTCGCCGCACGGAGAGTCCCGCGGAACCACTACCGCAAACCGTGGGTATTCGAGAAGAAGTTCCGCGATTTCTCATAATGTGTTTTTTGACTCATTTCAATAAAAACAGGATAGTAAGAAATCACGAGGTATCCTCGATTGTGCACAATTTCTAGAGGATTGGTTAAATGTTTTCTGGCCTTCATCATTTGGAATGAAGTTAGAGCGTGGTATCGATTCGAGTTCAGCAGCACAGTGGAACATTTCGACCGAGTAGTTGGCGGATCTTCTCCCTGAATCCCTATGTTCGCTAGGCTGCATGCGGCTAATCTTCTTCAGTTGTCTCGCACCACTAAACTGCAACTACCGTTTCCGGCCCCCCTTCGCGCAATCGATAGGGCCTGCTTTGCTTTCTTTGCTTCTTTTGATTATATTTTCCACTACTTTTCTTGTTTTCATGTGGAGCGTGGTCGTGTCATAGAGGTTTTATATGAAAAGTTTATAAAGTTTTACAAAGAAAAAACAACGAACTATCGACTGGTGGAAATTGGAAATTCTGGCTCGAACATTGTGCGCAACAATCAACTGTCGTATTTCTGTGACAAGCAGCGGTGACACGTCGTTTGGAAAGTAGTACATCCCACATTCTGAACCCCATCAGCTACAAATTCCCGAAAACTTGCCCAATAGACGGTTTTCGACGTGCACTGCTCACAAATTGTTTTAGATAAAGTCGGACATAGAAAAGATAATTTCTGCACATCCAGAAAAAGATCTAGTAGATGATCACGCTACGCAAGCGGTAAATAATTTACTGTCCACTTTTTGGTCATCCTGGTTATGTTCAAGTGCTCCAAGGGTTATTTCTTAGGTGAGCGAAGGAAAAACAACTGCGACGATTGAAATTGACGTGGCCTGCGATCCTAAAGTTGGCCCTACTCCGTCACCTTCCAATGAAAGGCTGAAAGGAACAGCTGAAAGCGTCCTAACAATCGATGCTGGAGTGAAGAAGGAAATGGCTTCAATAACTAGCCAAGATCAAAAAAGTATGATAGTAGGTCCAGTTACACCCGCCCCCATCGTCGAAAACAAAACTATGGAGGACGTAGTAGGTCCTGAGTCTGAAGAGAAAAAAGGAGTTATCACAAAGCCTAAAATATCTAGTAAGGAATCACCACAGAAAAGTGGATCAGACGTCGGTTCTCCCTCGACAGCAACGAAAGAGGGGACTAAAGCTCCGAAAACAACGAAAGAAGGGACTACAGCTCCGAAAACTAGCAAGGAATCACCTTCAAAGGGTGACAAGGATAAGGATATCGCCAAGAAAGTAGATGTGCCGATGACGACACAAATTGATCTCGATTCCCGTCGTGAGAAAGACGATTTTAAAGATGTGGAAATCAGAACAAAACCAGTGTTCGGTAGAAGGTCAAAACTTGGTGAGCCTTTTCGTCAGAGTAGTAGACAAGAACTTCATGGAACACTTAGTGTACCTTCATTTCATCGCATCTTGAAAGAACCCCAAAAAAGGTTTTAACTTTCCGTCAACAACTATCTGGGTAGAAGATCTTCTTTTTTTTGAAAAGACACATCGATTCGCAAATCTATTAAATACACGAAACAAAGGAAAAGCATGAATCAACTATTCCGTGAACAGTGATCGCCTATTCTGGAACATACTTCACCCAATATTTGAAACAATAACCATTTTGTGATGATGCTATGCATTCAATTGCGATATGACTATTCTTCACGGTAAATAGAGTCCCCTCCACAACAGGGTGGTGAATGTGACTTCTGTGTTGCCATACTGTCAATATCTGCCTGAATACTACCATATATTTTCTCCTTTTGAGCTCGACCTCAGGTGTTGATGTAGGGCGTTAGTTCAGCCCTCACTCCTTGCTTTTTGCCAGTTTATAGGTTATGCGCTGTACTATCTTGCACATCTTTCCAAAGTAGTGGAGGCGACTAACGGACATGTTCAAGGGTTTGAGGCTTGCGGAAGTTTGGGGTTGTTCTGCCCTTATCACTTGATGCAAACAGTCATTGTAGAGCTTAGGTGGGGTTTCCTACAATTTTGAGTCTTCGTTAAAAAAATTAACGTAAGCGTTAAGCCATTCGAAGCAACGAAGTAATTTGCTCATTGTTAGAATAGTTTTTCTCAGGCAATTTTAATTTAAGGCAAGGGTTAAGTACTGATCGCAGAAGACGACGGTTCGCCCACTTTTAGGCCGGTAGTGGTGTATCTACAGAAGCTTTTCAGACAGTGGAATGGAGTTTTTTTCGATTAGGCGCAAGAGAGAAGGACAACCGGAGCGGGTGAAATGGTTGCCATGTTTAAATTGGCGGGATGTGAGAGAAATGAACTCAATACTATTCTACTATTCTATAATCAAGAGTGTAAAGAGTGACGCCTCTCTTGCTGAAAGAGCACAAAGAAGACACCGGAAGAAGGTGAAGATGGAAATGAAGGAGCTCAATCTTCACCCTTTTTATCTTCTTCTTCTTTGCAGTTTCTCAGAGTTTCCTCTACAACCTAAAGTTGACCTGATCTTGAATGCGGTCATTCGAGAAGGCAAGCGTTCTGAAAGGTTATATTTAGCAAAGTATGGCTTATTCTGTAAGCGGTGGTGATCTATGTAGTGGCAAGAGACGTACTATATCACACGCATGTCTCTGGATTCAAATCCGGTATCAATACTCGCTTGGGCGAACCAAACTTTCCATCCCTTCAGAGTAGTTTAATTGTTAATGGATTCGTCCGAAAAGATAAAAGCTTGGACTAGTACATCGGCTGGCCACTATTTTGTAGGACACATACGCATTCAACGTGTCACTATGGTCATGATTAGAGGTGGAGCGCTGGGGCTTATCCCAAAATAGAATCGATCATGCCTTATACATATATTCAAAGGTTCCATAACCCTTTTCGAATCAACTCTTCCTCAACAAATAAAACGCAGTTTAGTGCTAGTGATTGCGATTCTCTTCAGATTCTAATGTGGGGAGAGTTGACTGAACCTCCGTCAATGTTGTACTTTTCCTGAGCAATACTCTATCCTCTGAAAAGTATAGGCAGAAGACATTCATGGATGTCGACGAGAGTGCTCCGCAACTTAATTTGCTAACGCCTTAATAATCAGCCTCAGCTTTATTCTGTTTCGTGACCAATCTTGAATTGAAACAGTTCGAGGCTCGTTTGCTGCTTCTAGGTAATCATGGAGAAAAGCTCGTTTTGGAGTTTTTCAAGTAGTTCTGCGTATCACCGTTGATGAGTAGCCAAAGCGCCTTCGAGCTTTAATCAGTACAGGAAACGGTTATGTAAGATGACCGCGAGTTTGTTTTATAGATGCGATGCACAGTAAATAACTCACAACAATCGATCATGTGTCAATATGAACTGCGGTTTCTGGGGGCCAAGTTTTTTGTTACCATATTCATGGTGCACACTGTATATACACCTGGAAATACATCGAAAATTCAATTTGAATTTCCAACCATTTTTTGTCAGTGGAATTGTCCGTTGCATCATTTTGTTGAATTAACTTGATTCATTATGATGATCATGTGTTTCAGCGAAGAAGTGATAGAGAGTGCCCGAACAATGTCTTCCACCTCAATTACAACGTTACTGTAATAAGAAATAAACTCCACATTACTAATTTATATTTAAATGAATCGTTTGCAAACCTTTCTGATGTTGTTGTTTAAGTACGCAATCATCATGTCCGAAATACCGAGACGATACTGAAAGGAGGAAGTATGAGTTTACTCTGCGGATAGCATCTCACCTCCTAAAAAGTATTATGAAATTCGGGATTCATAATAATGTAAGTTCTTGGGAGGGTCGATCTCAATGGCGCTACTGTCCCTTACGTTGTGTAAAACTCAAGCNTGAAAAGGGAATGAGAGAAGCAAATCAACTACACCTGATCAGAACTGTTTCTCGTAAACGTAAAAAAGCGTGATGCCGAAAAGAGTTTGAATGCCAGCCAAGCCCGGCTATTCATAGTCAGAAACTATTTTCATGTGAAGTCTTATGGTTAGATGCCGCGTGTGGAAGATTAAGTGAGCGCTCGTATATCTGTTGATTACCGAGAAGAACACATGCATCTTCCCAATGTTCATTGAGTCCCCAAGCCAGCTCCAGTAACGTCTACATTCGTTTCTGGGTCGGTGAAGCTTTCTTTTTGAGAGACAACTATCTCTTCTCAGAAACATCGCGAAAACGTCTGAGCATTGTGTTGGGTGTTTATTTGACGCTCTAAAAATTACGCGTTATTTATGCAGAAAATACCGATTTAACAAAATAAAAGGTTATTCAAAATAAAGGACCTTGTGAGGAGTATTCTACTATTAATACGCTTTCGAGTAACAATACACACATGCAACATCTGAAGGAGCATCTAAGCTTCCTCATGTCTCTTGGGGATACCTGGAATTTGACCAGATAGTAGGTTAATAATGGTGAATACTCATAATAACCCCATGCTACACATATAGAAATTTCGCACAGTTCGATTCAGTAGGAAAGGAGTTACGACTGAAAAGTACGACTGAAGAAGTAATTGGCCGAAGATTTTTGAGCACTACTGTATGTATAATAGTATGTATGAAAACACACGACTTCCCACCACTTTACATCCCCCTTACCTAATTATATGGAAGAATTCTTATTCGGGAAGATGTACCGAATTTCGTGGCCTCCCTACCGTTGCATTAGATTTTCCAAGTGACAGCGGAAAAAGGTTCCTATGAAATTTTCATTGCATAGTGTTTGCTGTTTACAGGAAAGTCGAAAAGCTACACAGGAAGACATTGACTGAAGGATCAACTCTTACACATTTTTCTCAATTCCTTTTCTCGATTCCAGAGTAAAACTGGCACTAGATAAGGCTGTGAACTTTTTCACGACTTGACCTTCGCCACCTACTTTTATTCTTACTCTTACCTTGAACACCCTCTCAAGCTATCCTACAGCTCCTCAGAAGATGTAGGCATGTACCGGGACTGATCCAGTCTCGCATTCTAAGAGTAACTTGAATTTTATCAGTTATTCGTCTGAGGACTACTAATTGGTTTTTATTATTTTTTGTCGGCATTACGACTTTAAATGGAAGTTAGTTGCATAGTGAACCCTGTTGACATTGACTGTAGACAGCTCTATCCCTTTATAGACCACAATGGCACTAAGGATGGTCCAGTCGAAAAAATGCTTGCTTCGAAAAAGCGCCATAGTTCTATGTAAAGAGATTGGTTGTGTTTATGCTCCAACTTTGGAAATCCAGGAAAACTCCTACCAGTTGCTGAATGCCTCAATTAGGGCACGTCATGCGAAAAACGCTGCCCACACCCCACTTCTTTCGGCACGTCACCCGCAGATCACTTGGACGCAACATTTTCCTTCCTTTTTCTATTCACAAAATTCTATTGACTTACATAAAACCAAGCTCATCAACATACCCAAACAATCCCAAACGATTTTCGTCATTAACTCAACCCAAATTTTCAAAATCAAGTTTTCTGTATTTTATTTGTTTCATTTCCTCCTAACTTGATTCATGCGCAAACCTTGTCAACCCAACTGTTAAAAGTCAAGCGAAGCCCTGACCCAGTCGTACATATTCAAGAGTCTAAAGAAAACTTTTGGATGATGTCCCAGCTAGAGCAACCCAGGATTGATCCAAATGAAATCTGACGATAGAACCTGCTAGTTAACTGCTTTTTTTCCAGCATGGACCCAAACAACCCTCAATCGAATTTGCGGAACAAGCCGAAGGAGCTTTTAGTCTAGGGACTAACTTATGGATTCGTGTCATTCATATTTACATCTTGTCTTTGACAGCTTAAATCGAGAAGTAGTAGAATGTGCTGTGCTAGTTCGGCATTACTTTTAGCGCATTTCGAGGTGAAAGTTCGAAGATTTTAGTCATCCATGACTGACGACTTGACTTTTTGATTCTTCGAGTGGAGCGATCTATTCAACTTGAAGTCTTTTTTGAAAAAACCAGTTTTTGATAACTCGGGGATCTCTGCATAGCTCAAGCGAGGTAATGGAAGTTACGGTAAGGAGTTGTGCTTAGGTAGTGATGAAAGCTCGAAAGTCGACGGATTCTAGAAAAGAAAAAAGGGGTGCACGAGGTGTTCACGACGTGGAAGTGGCATGTGGAGGAATGTAGGTAGTGCGCTATTGAGACGGAGAGGTGGCTATAACTAGCCAAAAATGCCGAAAATTGTTTTCATATCACTATGAGTCACGACTTTTTTTGATTTTTAACATTTCTGCTTCAATGGGTTCGGCGTAACCTATTCAGAGTCCTCGAAATACGACCACCTCAGAGTGTTGCGTGCCAGAAAAAAGAGCTTTGAGCCCTTTTACGCCCTATCCAGGCCGTTTTCCGGTCTCACAGTGGCATACTTATGGGCTCCAAGTTCGATCTCGGAGTATGCTTCGAAAACAATTTTCACCACTAACCGAATCTTTGGGATAGGAAAAATTCAACCCATGAATTCAAACCATGCAAATCATGATAC